CCCAAAACCCCAAAACCCCAAAACCCCAAAACCCCAAAACCCCAAAACCCCAAATGGAGTAAAAATTACTATTTATGAAGGAAATTTCTGCAAAGAAAATAATTTAATTCTAAATTGCTACTAAGAAAAACACGAATGGTTTGAATTTCCTGCTACGTAGTGCCTTTTATGATGGTCTATGCCATATTCATCTCTCTAAAAGATTATGTTATAGACTACATTAAAACACTCTAAGCTATCAGAATAGCTGAACATTAAAACAGAATGAATAAGGATAAAGATCAGAAAAACTAATAAACATCAGAACACGATCTCTAGAATGAGTCTACTAAGTCTGAAATAGCTTAAGTAAGATTATTTCAGTTATAATTATGATTTAGGACCATTGATGCCCCATATATTAAGACTGATTATTGAAGTTTTAAGTTAAAGTCCTTTAATATTTGCGGAATATACCTGAATTAAGTGAATAAGAGTACTGAAACCGAGAGGAGAGTTCTCTTTGATAATATTCAAGTATAATCTGAAAATATTTAGTACAAATATCTAAATATGTGCATGAAATAGTAGAGATAGCTGAATGAGTAATATTTTGTTTTAAATTGACATAATATTAATGTTTCTTATCAAATAAATCAATCTAACCTAACTATTAACACATACTTTTAAGATATTATTATTTAATTACAAAATGCTAGATAGTATCAAAGAATATGCTTATTCTGCGTAAAGCGTCATTCTTTAACTCAAAAATATAGTAAAGAAAAAATGAAGGAAACTGTGACCTCATACACCTCAAAATCAGATATAGAGAAAATCCTCATAGAGGCTACAGGGAATGAGAATTGGAATATTGCTAATTCAAAGCTACAAATGCTTGCAGATGCTGCACATCAACAGTATGATTATCTTATATCATGCAACGTCATGATCCTTTTATAGTGATAATTATCAAAGAATTATGGATCATCTCAAGGGAAAGCTAGAGTGCCCAGCTTTCGAATGGAGAAGGGTGTTGAAGGTAAGTAAATAGAAGTGTCTTATTAGTATGTAGTCACTTGTTGCCCTTGAGTATATACTTAAGCACGGCCCAGCTAGAGTTTAATAGGACTTGAGAAACGAGATGTTTAGGTTGAATAAATTACAATAGTTTACACATTTTGAGGATGGATCTGACAAGGGCAACTCAATTAGACAGAAAGCGCATTTGATTGCTGATCTCGTCACTATATAGACTAAATATGATGAGGAAAGAGAATTAGCTAGATAGTATAGAGAGAAGTTTTATTCTAAACCTGGTGGAATCTCATCAGATTCAATGTCTAGCATGAGTATGTCTATTTGCCTTATAATTGAATTTAGATGGTTCTCATGGTAGCAATGGAAATTATAATAGTATGGGATCGCAAGGGTACGGAGGGTATGCTCCAAAGTAAGAAGAAGCAGGAGCATTAAGCTATGTAAAGAATATTGGTGGGATGGTGTCAGGAGCAGGTTCATATGTTTCCTCTGGTCTTACTTATCTAGGAATTAAGAAAGATAATAGTTAGACTCCTAATAAATATGGGAGCACTACTGGAGGATCATCAATGATGGGATACGGAAGCGAATCAGTTGCTAAGACAGGAGGATATTATGACCCTCCTGGTGGTTACTAAGCATAAGATAATGTAAATAAAGGAGCTTATGATCATAAATGGGGAGCCTAACCTACTTAACAAACATAATAGGAAGAAAAAATAAAACCAGTTTGGGGTCAATAGAATAAGCAAGAAGAATTGAAACCTAAGGACACAAAGAAAGAGGAACCAGTATCAAAAGATGAGAAAGAGAAAAAGAAGAAGGACAAGAAGACTCACAAAAAGAAGAGAAAGAGAAGTTCATCAGGAAGCGATTCGTCTGACAATGATAAAAATAAAAAATAAAAAGGAGATAAAAAATAAAGTTCAAATGCTGATATCAATCTATTAGACCTTGATTTCAAGCCAGAGCAGAATCAGAAAAAATCAGATACTAATACTTTCTTCGATTTCCCTCCAGCTCCAACAACTAACACAACCTCCAGTAAAGCAAACACAGCTGATTTAATGGATCTATTAAGTTTTGATACTCCAGTTTCCTAAACTCAATAACCACCAATTCAAAACTAAAATATCGGTGGAGGCATCGACTTACTTTCCTTTAACTAATCAACTAATTAAACATTCCCAACACAATAGACAACAAATAACGCAATTCCTACTTTCAATAACTTTCCCATAAATACTAACATCCCAGTGGTGAGTAACAATAATTTAATGAGTGGAAGCAATGTTTAGAACTTCAATTTCAATTTTAATCAGGCACAAAATAACCTTAACATTAATCAGACTAATATCCAGGCTTTCCCAGGTCTTGGTATTTAGAATCATACAACATCTCAAACTAATATACAACACACATAAAACTTATTCAATAATCTTAATCTTAGCAATGGCGCACAAGCTTAAGTCCAGTAGAATCATAATATTCAGAAGCAATAAAGTGCTCCTTAGTCAGCTAACAAAAATTCGAACGATGCCTGGGATCTAGGTGCCAACCTTATCAATCTTAATTTGAAGTAGGGTATGAGTGTTGGAGATTTTGATTAGGAAGTTAAAAAGCCTAATACATTCGCAAACTAAAACCCAGTTTATATAAACCAAGGTGCCAATAAAGATTAATAATCAACCCCGAAATTCATCCCAAATTTAGGCTTCGGAATGCAAGGCTAGCAGTAGCAATATGCTTAAATGGCTGGAAATCAATAGTATTCTCAGCAATAAATGCCAGGATATATGAATTCTCAATAAATACCTGGATAAAATATGGGAGCCTTTCCTCAGTAGAACAGTAATTTGAACTAAATAAACTAGTAGGCATAGTTCAAAAGTATGAATCAAAATCCTTCACTATAGCAACAACAGTAGAAATTCTTCTGAAAACTTAACTTAAAGAGTCGCTATCTATTTATTAATTGATAATTATCGCATTATATAATTTAACTTTAATTAAAATTTTTTTAAACAAAATGAAATTTCATTCCAATCAAAGAAATTTAGTCAATTAGTTTGAGAGATTTCAGTAACTATCTTGATGCAATTTATCATATAAATATAGCTCTTTCGAAATTCATCAAAAAAGATTACAAGATATGAGAAAAGAACTAGATGATAAAAAGAAAAAGAAATTTTAACTACTTGACTTAAAATAGGAAGAGCTGCTTATCAGAACAAACAAGAACAAAAGACATGCATAGCAGTTTAATGAGTATCTGAAAATGATAGAGATTCAGAGAAATAATGAGAGCTTACTTTGAAGAATAGAAACAATCAGCACAAGGATTAATTAGTCTCAGAAAAAAGTAAGTATACTCGTTAAATCTTATTGATAGATCCCTATAGTAATAACTTACTAATCAAAGATCACAGAGCATTGAGCAACTGAAACCTCTTGAATAAGGTTCTCAGAGAGATGAGCAAGATAAATCTCTTAATAAAGACTATTCTCAGATGTCAATATCCATTCTCTAGCCAAGCAGTAGCAAAAGATTTTCCTTGATAGAGACCAGGAAAAAGAAAGAGGAAAAGATGATTCATGATGAGAACAAGAAAATGATGGTCAGAATAATCAATTAAAGTCCTTCTATTTCATTAAGGAAATAAGCTCATGATTTTAAAAAGCATCTAGCAGCAAAAAAGGTCTTATCCTAGTTTCATGATGACTACATTCCAGTCGAACAATTGTATTAGAAAAGAAAATAGAGCTTGGCAAGATTGCCACCATTATAAAGCGAATCAAAGAGGTCAATATACATTGAAGAAAAAGAAGTTAACAGGACTATTGATTAAAGCACGATGGCCTAGTAAAGTGTACCCTTAATAATAATCAGCGAAGCAAAATCCACCAAATATCAAAGCAGAGTTTATTCCAGGTAAAAAACTCCAGAGGATAGAGAGCTCAACAATTACTCTAACTTAATTAATTTTGAAGATACTCAATCCTAAAAAGAGGAGGATAACCCCTATATGCAAAACAAGGCTGTCATTGATCCGAAACCCAAAATTCTAGAAAATGAGATGTTCTACTCAAGAAATCCGAAAATTGAACATTCTGTGACATACGATTATCAAGCAGACAGTAACCCTTATAATTTGATTTAGCCCTAATAATAAACTAAGTCATTATAGAATATTTCTCTCGAGCATTAAAAGTAAATCATAACTGCAAGAGATATCATAATAGATGAAACTCATGTTATTAATAAGGAGATATTATCACCATCTAGACAAGATATTTTGGAAGAATCATAAATAGAGGAAGAAATTAACCTATACAGTAGGAAACAGACATTAAACGATAGGATATAAGAGGATATTGTGATAGAGGGAAAAGAACAGTAAAATAATGAGGAGTATGCTGATGATTTTTATGAGGACGAGTCTTAAAAATGAAGCCAAAATTTAACAGGTGATTTAGAAATTTTAAATATTCTGACTGACTTTATATTATTAGAAGTAAATAATGCTTATTAAGTTAATTTATAATTATTTTTATAAACAAAATATACTAATCAGATAAAATGTTCGTCATAAATTTCTTCAAGAGTGCATTTGAATGGCTAGGATTTTTCTAGAAGAGCGCAACCATCGTCTTCCTAGGTTTGGACAACGCAGGCAAGACTACTCTTCTCTATATGCTATAAAGCGACAGATTCACCCAGACTGATTCCACCATGCATCCTCATTAGGCTGAGGTTACAATCGGAAATATCAGATTCAACTCCTATGATCTTGGTGGACATTTGCAAGCCCGTAAGACCTGGAAGGATTACTGCGGACAACTAGATGGAATAATATTTATGGTTGATGCCGCGGATAGAGACAGAATCAGTGAGAGCAAGAAGGAGCTAGACTCTTTATTAGAGATGAAAGAACTTGAAAATGTTCCCTTTGTTGTTTTTGGCAATAAAATTGATAAGAGAGACTCTCTGAAAGAAGAGGAGCTGAGAGAATATTTAGGGTTACATTTCCATTAAACTCACGGAAAGGACCCCAAGCAAAAGAACCCAGGTGCTAGACCAATAGAAGTTTTTATGTGCAGTGTAATGAAGAGAGTAGGTTATTCAGACGGATTCCAATGGCTTTCAAATTTTCTCAAGTGATCATGAGATAATATATACGTAGCAATCAATTGCTTGCTCTATTAGATCTAAAGATTAATTATAAACATTTTAAAAATCATATTCTCTTCTAATTACGCATCATGGGGTTTTGGGGTTTTGGGGTTTTGGGGAGATCGGAAGAGC